CCAGAAAACCATAAGTGGTGCTGTAGCTCAAGTGGTAGAGTGCTCGCCTTGAGCTGAAGAGCTGAGGGACAGCGCCCAGGCCCCGAGTTCAAGCCCCACGACCAACAACAAAAAAAAAAAAATGTTTAATGGGTATGAAGTTTCTATTTGGAAATATGAAAAATACTCTAGATACCATATGGCTCAGATACAATGTAGTATGGTGACAAATAAAGCATAATTTGATTATATTGTAAAACAAATAACACTTTGGTATCAAAGTTAAATAGAAAACCCACAAATGCTAGGATACGTATTTTCAGTACTATAATTTGAGTACTTGACTCATTTTTCCCTTAATGCTGTCCAACTTCTACTAAAGATAGGCTGTCATTCAATAAATCTAAATTTTTCACTTAATCATTTAAATTAAGTACATGATGTGCCCTTTTTAGCTCAGAAGGACTGTCATCATTTGTCCTTGCTTTCTGGGCACCATTTGCTTTGTGGGAAGCAAATTTTCACAAAACAAGAGCCAGGAAACACTCAGCAGATCACTCAACTGACAATAATGTGGGACTGACTGGGAGCCTCTCCACATCAATTAAGGCATATGATGCCTAGTTGGGAATAAAAAAAATTTGTTTTGAAACTTTTGATTTTTATTTATTTTTTACTGCACTTGTGTGTCATATTTATTACACTGTGTATAATAAGTCCACAAGTAAGGTGAGCCTACTATGTACTTAAAATGGTTAAAATATTCAATTATATATTTCAATTATATTATGCATTTTTGAGGGGATTAGGAAAATGGTTTAAGTTGTAGAGCGTTAGTCTTGCATGCACAAAAGCCTTGGATTCGATCATCAGTATATAAATTAAAAGAAATGTGACTATTATGTATTTTACTATGATTAAAAAAATTAAATGGGCCTCAACTCAAATAAGGAAATAGTTTTCAACTTGTGGCTCATAAACTTACCAAGCTTTATGAGAGTTCTTGAAAAAGCAAGCTGCTAGGACCGGTAGGGTTGTTTCCTTTACTTCCTATGACTTTAGAAGACCTGACTTGGAACATTTTAATTTAAATGCCATGGGGATACCTTTACCATTCCAGTAGCATTTGAAAAGTAAAAGCACTATAATGACAATACTGTTTAAATAAAAGTAATATAGAAGTACTATGAAATAGTCAAACTTCAAAAATGTAACCTTGGGCTGGGAAGGTGGCTCAGTGGTAGAGCGCTTGCCTTACATGCATGAGGCCCTAGGTTCAATTCCTCAGCACCACATAAGCAAAAAGAAAAAAGCCAGAAGTGGCGCTGTAGCTCAAGTGGTAGCGTGCTAGCCTTTAGCTGAAAAGCTGAGGGACAGCGTCCAGGCCTAGAGTTCAGGCCCCACGACCGGACCCCCCCCCCAAAAAAATGTAACCTTAACAATATTAAAAAACAAACAGCTAGAATGCAGCTCTCTACTAACATCTAGCCATCCTCTTGTAAGTAGCTACACAAACTAATATAAAATTATCACAGATTAGTTTTATGTTACTTACAATCTTTACATTTCACTACCCACTATTTAAGACTGAAATTGTCCAGAAATTTAAAAAAGACTAAAGAAATGAACCATCTAATCCCTATAAAAAAATCATGTTGTAAAACTCATTCTACACTCTGTGAAATCCTTATGATGATCTAGAGTTCCAATATAGAAGAATAATGGAATCTTTATCAAATGTTATCATTCATAAATCGAGGGATTCAAAATTAGTGTTAGAAAGATTAATCTTTTTACATTTCTATACTTGCTGCATAAAACAGAATTGCAATTTTCCAGTATAAAGTTTGTTTGGATGATATCTATCATTTAATGCACAAATAATACAACTGTACCTGAGCAAAAAGGTAAGACATAACAAAGTCATCAAGAAGAGGAGATTCAGTCCCTCGAGATACTCCATGCCGATAGGTTCTGTTACTGCCACTGCAGTACCAGTGAGCAAAGTAAAACCTGTAAGAAAATTAACACATGACTTCAGCCTCCACAGATTTCAAATATAAACATAATGTATATATTTAACCACTTTTTCCATGCCAAAAGGTATTATCTTGTTATCAGAAAACACACCCAACAATGTTAATACAAGTTGGGCACAAAAGGACATCATGGATAATACCATGATAATAAAGTAAATAGAAAATCCAGCCAGGTATGACGGCACATACCTGTAACTTCAGCACCTTGGAGACTGAAGGAAGAGGATGAGAATTGTGAGCCCAGCCTGGGCTACATAGTCTCAAAATTCCCAACACTAGCCCCAAAAGCAAAGAAATGCAAGAAACATAAGTAAGTGTAAAGTCAACATACTGCTTACTTTGGCACAATATAGAATGTAGAATGCAGAAGCATAGGAAACAGAAATGTAGGAATTAAAAAATACCAATTAAAAAGTAAATATTGTTGGGCTGGGAAGGTGGCTCAGTGGTAGAGTGCTTGCCTTGCATACCTGAGGCCCTGGGTTCAATTCCTCAGCACCACATAAGCAAAAAGAAAAAAAGCCGGAAGTGGCGCTGTGGCTCAAGTGGTAGAGCGCTAGT